CTTTAAATCTGGTCACCTTTGGCTAACGAATAGCCATTTGTATCACCCAGGGGCTTCTTGAACCTTTTACATTTTTAAAATTCACATTTCTTCCAAAGTAGTTCCCTATGTCTTCAAAGAACTGTATTTGCAAAGTTCTTTGTAGTGCATGCATCATAGTCTGTTATGTGGATGGACACGAACTTCTTTAGCGTATCTTTAGAAATTCCTATTTCCCATTTTTGCAGTTCTGAAAATGTGGACATGAAGACCTCTATGCATAAGTCTTTTTACGTTATTTTAAATAATTTGAGAGGAAGCAATGTCACATTTTGGCTTTATACCACATAACAAAGCTACATATGTGTTGCATACTGTATTGAACCTTAGCTTTGCCTTCCTTCTGTACACAATACCGATGCAGAAGCTAATCGTGTTATTGACATTACCATGGGGGGGAAATTATTTGAAAAAAAAACTTGAGTAGTACCTAGTAAACTTCAATTCCTGCCAAGTGAGAGCTTATGGCTATCAAAAGATGAGTAGAAAAATGTTCACAACTGCTTTATTAATAACCAACTACGGAAAATCACCCAGATGTCAGTCCACAGTAGAATGAATAAATTATGCTATAGTCACCTAATAAAATATTGTGTGATGGCAATAAGAAAAGAGCAAACAGGTGATACATACAACAGATTCAGCTCACAGGTAACACGCTGAGCTATAGGCGCCAGGCCAATAAGCAAGCCCACACTGTACTAGTCAGCTCGTTTAAGACACGAAAGCAGGCCAAACCAGTCTAAGGTGATGGAGAGCAGCATACTGCCTACCTCTAGAGGCATCTGTTGAACGAGGACTTAGGGAGTCTTTCTGGGAGGTGTCAACATTCCAAGTCTCAATCTACCTGTCATCAGCTGGGTTGACTTTGGTTGTGGTTGAGTTGATTGCAACTCATGATGGCCTCACAGGTGCAGGGGAGAACTACCCCCAAAAGTTTTGACCTCGCAGAAGCAGACCACCAGGCCTTTCGGACAGCCTTCTGCTTAGCAGTTGGTGCATAACCCTGTGTGGCCCATAGACGCCACCTGGGTATCTGTGTGCGTAGAAATTCATCACGTTGAACATAACCATTGTGTAGCAATGCATCACATTTCTACATTCCTCTCCAAAGAGTTGGGACCTTATTTAATACTTTCCCCCTTTTTCCATTGGAATTTCACTCCATTCTCCTCTTCCACGCAGACAGACAATACATCAAGGACAGAGAGGCTGTGGAGAAGCTGCAGGAGCCACTGCTGGAAGTGCTACAGAAGTTGTGCAAGATTCATCAACCCGAGAATCCTCAACACTTTGCCTGTCTCCTGGGTCGCCTGACTGAACTTCGGACGTTCAACCATCACCACGCGGAGATGCTGATGTCCTGGAGAGTCAATGACCACAAGTTTACCCCCCTGCTCTGTGAAATCTGGGACGTGCAGTGATGTGGGCATGGGCAGGGAACGGGGCTAACTCCTGATTTCTCCTGGAACAGAAGCTCGATGTATAGCTTTCCTCTATTTCACTTGTACCTGGTTCCACTGAAGGATTACCACACCTCATGCTCCCCCCCCCACACACACACACACACACACACACACACACACACACACACACCTTTAAAAAACATTTTAATGTGGTTTGGATAAAAGTTTGCAGAGAAAGTTAGTTTTCCGGTCAATAATGTATACACATCTTGTTGCACAACATGGGGTGCAATCTACACAATGCAACACCACGCTTCCCATTTCCTCCCTGAGCTCCCCTGTCTTTGGAAACAGTCTTCTGAACAGTTGCCCTTTCGTGCCCCCTAGAGTTGATTATACTGAGGAGTTATGTGCCTCCCTGGGTGTTATTGTTTTATTGTTCACTTTAGAGACTGCTTATTTGCCTGGAAGTTGATCCTGAGGCCGGGGGAAGTGGTGAGGTCAGTACCAGACTTTTGATGGCTGTCCTAGGGCCATAGTCTCAGGGGTTTTCCTAACCTCTACCAGATCAGTACGTCGGATCTTTGCTGTCATTATTTTGAATTTTGTCTTACCTTTTTCCCCTCCTCCCACTGTGCTCCTTGTCAGAGGGTTAGTGGTAGTAGCCGGGCACCCTCCAGTTCTTCCCGTCCCGGGGTTGCCGGGGCCATGGTTTGACGGGTCCATTAGTCCTTTAGACAAGTTACTGCCTTGATGCTTTGATTTTCTTCAACTCATCTTTGCTCCTTGTGAGGAGAGACCAAGAGCTGCCCAGTAGATGGCCACTTAAAAAAAAAACGTGAAGACTTTCAGCCCTATTCACCGAAGTGGGCTGTAGACTATTGCCTTTGTGAACTATGTCATGCAAGTTGATCCAGGAGTCCCCTGAGATTGGGTCCCACACAAGAATCTTGATGTATATAGTAATTGTATACCGTCCATAATTGTAAATAAGAGTTTAGATAGAGTTACTTTCTCTGTGTTTTATTTTACAAGGCTTCAGGGAATCCGTCATTCCCATTGGTGCCCTGTTTGCCTAATTAAATTGCTACTTCAGGTCTATCTATTATAAAAGGCAAAGATCTCATGTTGCTCTGCATGTTACCTATTTCATATGTTTTATTAAAGAGTTGTGTTCAACGCTAGCAATAAAACAAGCCTGTCAATAGGTTTTCTTGGGAGAGGGTGTGTGTGTGGGGGAGGGGGAGCACAGATAGAAAAATATACAAACTCTTATTTCCTTAAATGGTGACAGCCCCTTAAACTAAGGTGGATAATTTCGAGAAAGAAAAATTCTCACAAATGGTACTATCTCACCTCTGAAGAACTATCATTCATTTTTAATGGTCATCCGATCATATCAATTTCTCAGCGAGTAGCATGCAATATAGAAGTTAGTAATTCTCACAGGAAATACGGCTTCGCGCTATCAGTTTCTCTCCAGTTACTCTGGAGGCAGCATTTATAAATTAGGAGTCCACAGACACTAGACAGCAAAGGGACATTCCCTTATCTCCTTCTAAGATGCTCGCTATTGGCTTCGTTCGGTACATATCATTAATCAATTTTGTTGTTTATTTGCTTTGCCTTTTTGAGAACATGCCTACAGCTGGGTGCACAGCTGCTGTATATATCCCCTCCAGCAGGAATTAGATCATTTCCTTTCTCCATTCCTCTCCCCACGATTCTTTAGGGTCTGTAATAAAACACACAATGGGACGGAGCCCTGGTTGCGCGGTGCTTACAGTTGGTACCCGCCAGCAGCCCCACGGCAGAAGGATGTAGCCCTCTGCTTCCAGAGGCATGAATGAGGCTGAAACAACCTCGCTGTCACGGAGACATGTTAGGACGGCAACCCGGTCGGGAAGAGGAAGGCTGCCCCTGGATTCTGAGGTCGTACAACGTTACAGGAGCAGAGAGCCTGCTGCCCTTGCTGTTAGACACTGCACCCACTACCGCGCCAGGACTCACTCCTGTAAAGATTACAGCCTGGGGTAAAGATTACCCTGCCCTATAGGTCACTGTGAGTCGGAGCTGACTCTACAGCAGCTGTGTGCGTGTGTGTGTGTGGGGGGGGGGGGTGGTTGATATCTTGACTTCTGACAAAATGGAGTCTACTTAAGGAGCGGACCATTTTTATTTTTTCCTTTCTGGTATTAAAATACTAGGCCTTCTCTGAGATCCTAAAACCAGTGGGATGCGGAGTGGGATGGGGCTAGTGTCAATAGGATTCCATCTGATTCAACACGTGTCTTGAGTCCTTGCTGTGCACAAGAGTGCTTTGCTAACCTCTGTGGGGGATACGAAGGAGCCCCGGCAGCTCCATGGGTCAAGTGCTCAGCTGCTAACTAAAGAGTCGGTGGCGCAAACCCCTGCTCCTTGGGAGCACACTGTGGCAAGCTGCTTCCCTAACGATTGACTGTCTCAGAAACCCCAAGGAGAAGTTCTGCTCCGTGCCTTGCGATGCCGCCTCTGAGTCAGCGTCAACAGTGGGCTTGGTCTGGGAACGCTGATGATTACGACATGGTCTGCCCAGAAAAGCCATGCGCTCACCAGGAAAGTCTCGTGAAGGTGGTGGCCCTGCTGGGCTTCAGAGGGTGGCAGGACTTCCATGGGGCAGGGTAAGAGGGAAGGAAGAGGGGGCAGGGGCAGAAGGCAGAAGGTGGGTGACTATGGATCTACTGAAGGACTACAAGGACTCTGCGGGAAGAGATGCGTCACGCTGTCCCTTCCTGAGCCTGTTTCGCTACTGTGTAAAGAAGAGATCACAGCCTAATGTCTTCGTCTGGGTCTGAGCAGACACAACACTAGGGCCAAACACTTTATTTAGGTGATTTTAGCCAAAGTGAGTGAGTGGAGAAAATGAGAAAGGAATGGGAAGAAATGTCTTTAAAAGGCGAGCAAATAAGCTCACTGTGGTGGGCCTCCCCATTAGTACCAGTTACTGTTGATGCAGCCTCTTCGTCACAACAGGTGTGTCAGAGCAGAAAGGTGCTACATAGGGTTTTCCCTGCTAGAGATTTGGGAAGTAGACGGCCAGGCCTTTCTTCTGAGGGACCTCTGCAGTGAACTTGAACCAGCAACCCTTTGGTTAGCAGCCAAGTGCATTGACCATTTGAATCACCCTGGGGTATCCCTGTTACAGTGACTGGGGATCAGTCCTCTCATGAACCATGCAGATGCTCCTCAAAATTGGTTGCCTGCAAGACAGAGGCTGGAGCATTGAGCCAGCAACTCCCTTCTTCTACTGGTTGAGAGTTGTCCCCCAGGACATGAGCTTCCTTTCACTCTGGGTGACTCTGCGGGGCAGTAAAGCAGAGTCTGCAGGGCCCAAGCTTGCTGGAGGACAAGCTGAGCTGTCTAGAAAGGCTTGTGGAGTCAGAGGAAGTTTTGCTGGGAAAATTCCCTAAGAAGGCGAGTGAGTCTGTTTGCACAGTCCCTGGTCCTGAGTAGGTCGGCTGGCTCTGCTGTTCCCACCAGTGGGCATGTTGCTGAACCAGTCCTCGCCTCCCACTGTTTGTTTTGCTATTTTGATTTCGGAACAGTCAGATACACAGCAGCTTTGAACTCACATCCTCCTTTACAAGGGGTGGTGGTGTGTGTACGTGTGTGTGATGATTAAGCTCAATCTTCTGTTTTTTTCACTTGCAAATGTGTTTATGTGGAAAGCCTGACAGGTATGCTTTAGTTATGTTCAGTCACATCTTCGTTATGCATTGACTTGTCTTTAATGGACTATAACAGGGAATTGTGGAAATCCTAGATAATCCCGGTTTATGTTTCCTCTTGAGGGGCGGCCTACTTAAAAAACTGCGTCAGCACTTAGAAGGTACAGCACCTAAAGACTGACTCATAGGCAGCTGAGTTCTGCCTCTTCCTTTTGATGGTTGCAGGGACTTGACTGCTTGGGCCTTTGTCTTATCAAGAGAAAGGCTAGGGAGACTGATAGGGGATTCCTTCTGGGAGGCAGGGGCCCTGGAGGTTCTAAGAAAATGTCATCTCTCTCCTGAGAATAAGCCTTCCTAAGATTCAGCATTCTCTTCAGCCAATTGCACCTTTTACTAGCCAGTTCTAATAGTAGAAAATGTCCCTTTGAACTTAAGGCCATTTGAGTTGGATTTCTGTGACTTGCAATGAAGAGTCTCAACAAATATATCACTTATCCTTTCTGTGCCTCGATGCATATGCAAAAAGGAGGTTAGATGTAGCAACCTTATGCCGTTACTGGGAAGATCAACTGTGGCAGTCTGACGAAAATGCTTCATAATCTCTAAACCACACACTATGAGAGGTCATTACTTCTGGCCACTGTCTCTGGCATGTAGTGAAGTGCATGCCCTCCTAGGACATTATTTCTCAAGCCCATGGCCGTTGGGTCTATTCTGACTCGTAGCGAGTCACCCTCTAGGGCAGAGTAGAACCCATTCCTTCGGGTGTTCAACACCGTGAATCTTTATGGACGCAGACAGCCTCATCTTTCTCCATCAGAGCAGATGATGGCTTTCAATGGCCACCCTTGCCCTCAGCAGCCCCACAGCTTAACCCAGTGTCACCAGGGCACCTTTTACTTCTCAAAGAGGAGCCTGAAAACTGCTGCTATTAAGATGGTGTGGGTGGTTTGCCTAACAGTCACATGCTTTGGGCTCCTTCGCAGATTTATGGACTCCTAATTTGGGAGTTGGGGAATCTGCGTTTCTTTCAAGACTTCAGGTGCTTCTGATGTAAACTGAAGTTCAAATCCTATACTAGAGTCTTAGCAATAAAAAGGATTTAGCTGATTACTGAGAGGGAAGTAGGAAAGGCCCACAAGGGAAGAGGCTAGGTGCAAGGGGCATTTAAGACAGAAGAGCCTGTTTCTGGGTACTTGGAAGAGAAGATCCAGTTTGGGGAACTGAGAGTGGTTTGGTGTTTGAGATCACAAGGTGTCTGTGGGGAAGTGGTAGGAATTGATGTGGAACTCACGGACCCCTGTAGGCAGGGCTAAAAGCTTAGTCCTCTACATTTGGATTTTGTCAGGTACCTAAGGGTTTAATATCAAACCCTAATGAAAACGAATGGATTGTTTGTTTTTGTCTGTTTGTTTTTTCAAGGAAAATTTTTCTGAGACTTTAACAAAAAAACAAAGAGCAAGACCAAGAGTAGAAGCACTGTACTATCAGATACCATATCCCTGGAGACATCTGGTAGTGTAGAATCTGGCTTTAAGTTCAGAACATGCACAACATTGATGCAAAATGTCAGAAAATCAGCCCAATGTTTAGCCATATGACCTCGGGGGAAATTTAGTCCCGCTAAACCTCAGTGTCCTCAATATAATCCACCTCCCAGGGCTGGCATGAAGAGTAAGCAAGATAATGTTTCCCAAAGCAATTTAGCTATTGTCCCATGCCAGTACTGCTCCAAACTCTGCCATTGAGTCAATCCAAACTCATGGCGACCCATGATAGAGTACACCCGTCTCTGAGGGTTTCTGGGACTGTAACTCGTGACCTGAGTAGAGGGCTGACCTTTTTCCAGCAGAGTGGCAAGTGGTTTGAACTGCTGACCTCAGGGTTAGCAGCCCAATTTGTTACCCACTACACTAACCCTGGGGACCTTATAAATGGTAGCTGCCACGATGACTCACTCAAACTCACAGTCATCGAGTCGATGCCAACTCATGGTGGCCCTATAGGACAGGGTTGAACTGCCCCTGTGAGTCCGAGATAGGAGGGTGTTTTTTTTAAAAACATTTTATTAGGAGCGCTTACATATCTTATGACAACCCATAGTTCCATTAGATCAAGCAATTTGCTGCCATCATCATTTTCAGTACATTTTCTTCTTGAAATCCTTGATATCAGCTCCCCTTATTCCCTCCCTCTCCAACCTTACCACCCCCCTGGACCCTTTATATATACATATATGATTTGCAATAACTTACACCATCCAATGTATCCATTCACCTAAAATTCTAATGTTTGTTCCTCTTGAGTGGGGTTGTACAGTCATCGTAGCTATCGGTTCCTCCTTCCCTTCTCCTCCCACCCCCTTCTTGTTCTAATAGTGTGGTACTGTATGATACTCACTTTCCTGACATGATCGCTGAAGACAAAATGGGCGCATAAGCTAATGTGGTGAAGAAAGCGGATAGTGCCCAGCGGCTATGAAAAGTATTAGTGTCTGG